CCCCGGCCCCGCCCCCCGCGGGCCCCGCCCCAAGGCACGACGGGAGTTGTAGTCCGGGGGGTGCGACCCCCGGGCTTGGGGAGCGCCTGGCCAGGCTGGGGGAGAGGGGAGGGGGGGACATTGTCACCTCGCGGGTGACATGGGGACACTGTCACACGGCGCGGGGGGCTCCCAGGCCAGGACACCCCACCCTCCCCGCATGGCCGCGCTTGTGGCCCCCAGCCCGCTCGGGGGGCGGGAGGGGACCCCCTGCTCCGGGGGGATCAGAGGAAGTCCCCACGGGGCTCCTCCCCAGGCTGGAGTGGGTCAAGGATCAAGGCGGTGCCTGAGGAGGTGCTGTCACCTGTCCTTGCACCGGATAGTGTCCCCCATCCCTGTCCCCATCCCCATCCAAACCCCTGTCTCCATCCCTGTCCCCATTTCAGACCCCTGTCCAAACCCCAATCCCCAACCTCCCCCCTACATCCCCATCTCTGCCCAAAAACTCCTCCCCGAATCCCGCCCCCCAAATCCCCCGCGGAGGCACCACGGCGTCACCACCCCGATGTGACACAGCGGCTTTAATGGGGGTCGGGGGTCCCGGGGGGGGTCCCGGGCTCACAGGGGCTGCACGGCCACGGGGTACAGCAGGGACAGGTGGCGGGCGCCGCGCACGGGCAGAGCCCGGGCAGTGTAGTGCCCCACGGCCGCCGGTACCGACGGGAAGGCGGCACCGGCCCGGCCCAGAGTGAAGTGCTGCTCCCGGGTCCGCGTCAGCTTCACGTGCACGAAACCCTGACTGCTCCTGCGGGACGGACGGGAAATGAGGAACGGGAACGGGAACGGGGAATGAGGAACGGGAACGGGGACGGGAACGGGGACGGGGACGGGATGGGATGGGATGGGATGGGATGGGATGGGATGGGATGGGATGGGATGGGGATAAGGGGGGTATCTGGGCAGGGATGAGGATGGGGACAGGGATGAGGAGCTGAGTGGAGGCTGAGACAGGGAGGTGGACAAGGACAGGGATGGGGACAGGCGTGGGGGACAGCTGGGATAGGAATGGGAATAGGGATGAGGACAGGGATGGGGACCCCATCCAGAGCAGGGGCAGGGAGTGGCACTACCCCAGGCGGGTTCCCAGGTCACCTCCAGCCTGTCCCCAGGCAGGGGGACACGCCAGCGCTCCCCCACGGACTCGGGGACATCCGAACACGCCAGCACCCGGATCCAGCCCCCACTGCCAGCCCGGCCCCGCGACGGCCGCCCCGGCAGGGCTGATCCTGGCTGATCCCGGCGGTGCCCGCTGTGCCCGGCTGTGCCCGGCTGTGGCCGTGTCCCCACGCTCACCTGAGGGACAGGGAGTAGTCGTCGGGGCTGGTCTCGCAGTCCCGCACCAGGAAGCTCCCCTCGCGGCACAGCGCCAGCAGCGTCTCGGCGCCCGCCCGCCCGATGGGGCCGTGGTACCAGCTGGGGACAGCGGGGTCACACGGGCACCCCCCGTGCCAGGGCAGCCCCTGCGGCACCGGGAGCCAGGCACACCCCACGGGACCTCCTGTGCCACGGGGCACCTCCCACATCGTGGAGAAACTCAGGGCATTGGCACCCAACGGAGTCAGAGGGGCAACCACCCCATGGGGCACCAAACCACGCCATCGGGCACCCAAACATCCCATGGGGCACCCAACCACCCCATAGGGTACCCGACCCCATGGGGGTTCACCCATGACATTGGGCCCTCTACAAGCCACGGGGACCCATCCACGTCAAAGGGTCCGAGGACACCACGGGACACCCTTGACCCCACAAGGAGCCGCCCGAGGGGGAGCTCCTGCCCCAAAGGTTTGCCCCCGTGCCACCCCACGGGCCGCCCCCAGACTCACGCCTGCTTCTCCAGGGGCAGCGAGGTGTCCACGTGCCTGGGGCTGGGGGGACAGCCCGGCCTGGGGGCCCGGGGGGAGCGCGGCAGCTGCCGGGACAGGCTGGGGGAGCGCTCGGGGCTCTCAAACTGCACTGCGGGGACAAAGGGGGTGTCACCCTCCCCGCCTGCTGCGGGGGGCTCCTCTCAGCGCCACGCCACAAAGGAATGTCCCGGAGGTGGCTCTGCCCTGCCGTGGGGTGACAGCCATGGGCACCGGGGGACACGGGGGGACCCCAGGGTGCTGGGGGATGCTGAGGTCCAGGACTGGTGCCCATGGAAGCTGCGGGGGGCAGGGTTGGGGGACCCTGGGGCGGCCCCCACGGGCGCTGTAGGATGCTGGGAGCCAGGAGCGGCCCCCACGGGAGCTGTGGGTCCCCGGGGGGACACCGGGCACGCTGACACCTGCGAACGCCCGTGAGATGTGATCCTTCTTCCACTCCCAGGGCTGGTCGTACTCATCGGCCGGGCGCTCGTCGTCGCGGGGGAGGCGGCTCTCGCGGGCCGGGGGTGCCCCCGGGCCGTCCCCGGCCGTGTCCCACTCCTCGGAGGGGGTGTCGTAGAGCTGGGGGCCCCGGCGCGGCCGCACCCGCCGGCCCTCGCCCTGCCTCGGGCAGCCTGGGGACGGGAGCGGGCGGTGGGAGGCGGCCGGGACCCCCGCGAGGGTGCCGGGGGTGCCCGGGGTGTCACCCACCTGTGGCCTCCTCGTCGCAGCCGCCCTCGAGCGCCGGGTCCTGCTCGCCCTCGAAGGGCTCCGAGTACTCGCTCTCCCCTGGGCCCTGCGGGGGGCTCCGGCTGGGAGGGGACCCCCACTGCCCCCCCTACTGCCCCCCGGTCCCTTGGGTGCCTTCACGGGGCCCTTCGGGCTCCCACAGCCCCGACACGGGTGTCCCCAGCCTTGTCCCCACTCCCGCCCACCGGGTCCCTTTGTCCCCCAAGCCCTGTGTCCTTCCCCCTCTCCCAGTGACTCCACCGTCCCCAGCCGCTCCCGGTTCCCTCTCCCAGGGACCCCAGGTCCTCCCCGGGTGCCCCACTGCCCCCCCGGCCCCTTGGCTCCCCCCGCTTCCCCGTCCCCGCTCTCCCGGTCCTTATTCCCGGCCGCTCTCGGTCCCCACCCCCGTTCCCCATCTCCCCCCATCCCCTCCGGTCCCCCCGTTCGCCGCCCCCCGCTCTCTCCGCTGCCTCACTCACACCTCCCCGACCCCCCCCGCTCCTCCCGGTGCCCCCCGCTCCCCTTCCCCAGCCCCCCACCCGCTGCCCCACTGCACCCCCCGCTCCCTCCGCCGCCCTCCCCGCTCCCGGCTCTCGGCTGCGGCTCCTGCCCCGTGCCCCCCGGTACCCCCCGGTGCCCCCCGCCCGTACCTGCTGCAGGCGGCGGGGGCCGCCCCCCGGCCCCGCGCCCCCCACCCGCACGAGGCGGTGGCGCGGGGAGGCGGCGGGGCCGCGGAGCGGAGCCCCGGGGGCGGCGGCGGGGGGACCCCCGGGGCTGCCGGGACCGCTGTAGTCGGGCTGGGGCGGGCGCGGGGGGGAGCGCCGGGCCCCCCGGCCCAGGTACTCCCGGAGCCACTTGGCCATGGCGGGGAGCGGCACCGGGAGCGCCGGGACCGCCGGGACCCAGCGGCTCCGGGACCCGCCGGGACCCCCCCGCCGCCGCCGCCGCCGCCGCCGCCGGAGCCGCTTTGTGTCGCCGCCGCGCGCGGCGCGGACCGGAGCCCCCGATCCCCCCCCGCGCCCGCCTCGCTGGGGGCACCGGCACGGGGGGGTGAGAGCACCGAGGGGACACCGGCACGGGGGGGGTGAGAGCACCGAGGGGACACCGGCACGGGGGGGGTGAGAGCACCGAGGGGACACCGGCACGGACAAGGAGCGCGACACGGCGGGACCCCGCGGGAGGGGCCCTCTCAGCCCCCCCGAGTGGCGGGGGGCACCGGGACCCCCGAGTGACCCCGGGGCGGCCCCTCCCCGTGTGACAGAGGGACAAGTGGGGGTCACCGCGACCCCCAGAGCCCGGCGATGGGACCCCCCCCGCCGCCGGCTCCTCGGAGCTGGCCCATGGGAGGGGGGCACGGCTTTGGGGGGAACGAGGACCCCCCCAGCTCTGTCACCCATCCCTGGGGGGCGCGGGGGGCTCTGCTCCCTCTGCCCCGGGTTTTGGGGGGGGCTCAGGCACCACACGGGGGGCAGCAGGTTGGGAGCCCCCCAGGCCTGCCCCGGGTCCCCTCCCGGCATTGTCTGTCCCCAGAACAAAGGTTCCTCTCCGGGGTCCCTCCGGGTGCCGGGGGTGGGGACAGCTGCCGAGTGGGGGGACACGGCCAGAGACCCCCCCACGCCCCCCCCGGGCCGAGCCCAGTGCCCAGCATTAATACTTGAAGAAACTAATTAAGGCATGTGCACAAAACACTAATTGGGACGGGGGGGCTGCGCTTCTGCCCAGCTCTCCCTGATGCCCCCCGGGCCCCCTCCCACCAGCCCCAGTGTGGGGGGGTTAATTAGCCCGAGGCTGCTCAGCAATTAGAGGTGGGTGTTTGGTGAGGGGGAAACTGATGGCCGTGTGTGAGGAGAGCCCCACTCGGGGTGGGTGGGCACTGGGGGTCCCTGGGGCAGGAGCCCACGTACAAATCACTCAGGAAGAAGACGAAGCAGCTGTGCCAGATCACGTTTATTCCGGAGTTGTGGCTGCTGGAGCCCGGCAGGCTCGGAATGCAGGGAGGGGTTTGTCCCCGAGTTCCTGGGGACACCGGGGGGCCGCTGGTGGCAGGACAGCCCCGTCCCCGCCGTGAGGAGCTGGATGAGCCCCGGCTCTGTGCAGATCTGAGACACTCTGGGACAGAAGCAGCTGGTGCTGAAGTGAAGGAGAGGGGCTGAGCGCCCAGCTCCCCCTGCACCCCGCTGGGAAGGACAGCCCTGGGGTCCCCGTCCTGCTGGAGGGGGTCAGGGCACCCCAAACCCGGCCCAGGCACGAGCACTGCGGGGTGGGGGCGGTGGCACCCCCAGAATGGAACCCCAGAGTTCAGTCCAGCCCTTCCCAACATCTCCTGGGAGCGGGGCTGGGGAGCTGCTGGGGCTTCCCCAGGATTCCTGCTGCAGGGCAGGCTGTGGGAGCAGCAGGGATCCCCCTGGCCGTGCTCCCAGCTCCGTGTGGGGCTCCAGGAGCAGCCGGGACAGCCCCGGCCCTGCCCCGCTGGATCCTCAGTCGCTGGCGCTGTCCTCGCTGTCCGAGTAGGCTCCCAACAAACCCAGCGAGGACGTGGCTGCTGCTGCTGCTGCTGGAAGCGAGCCTGGAGGAGGAGGGAGAGAGAGGATCCGTCAGTTCAGCCTCCCCGGGACAAACCCCGGTGTGGAAACACCGGCCTGGCTGGCTGCTCGCAGCTGGAGAGATCCCGAGCGGAGCCTGAGGTCAGGGAGGATAAATCCCTGCACAAGGAGCTCCTGCAGCCCTGGAGCCCCCCTCTCCCACCCTGCAGGAAGCACCAAGGTCTGGGAGCCCCCTGGGAGATTCCAGACCCTGGGAAGGGAGAGAGGAGCCAGCTCTGGGCTCCCACCACCCCAGCCCTTGGGACAGCAGCCAGGAGCAGGTGGCTGGGGAAGCACAGGGAAAAGGGGACACCTCCAAGAGCTGTCCCTTGCCAGGGATCCCCTGAGGGCAGGGGGACTCTCTAAGCCAAAGGCTTTGGATCAACCAGCCCAGAACAAATCAATCCCCCATCTCCTTCCCCAAATCCATGGATCCCCTGGGCAGCTCACTGAGGTGCTTGCTTTGTGTTCCTTAAAGCTTCCCAGCTCCAGCAGCTAGGCAGGATTTATCAGCAGGCCCCAAACCAAAGCAATCCTCCCGCTGTTCCACCCCTATCTCATTGTTGTGACGTTCCCAGGGCTGTAGCTGCTGTTTGGAAGCTCCTGGCCCTGCCAATCTGGCCCCAAGGCCGTGGCTCAGAGCCAGGAAGGAGCCTCCCCTTCCCCAGGAATCTCCTGGAAACGGGGACAAGCCCCTGTTCCCACAGCCCCCCAGCCCGGGCTGTGAGCACGGGCCCAGACCCCACTCGGGAGCTGTGCCGGGGCAGGTACCGGTGCTGGGCGCGGTGCCTCGCGTTTCCATCCCGTTATCCGGGCCAGGGTCCGGCTTCTGCCTCCTGCGGGCCACCAGCCCGGCCAGCTGGGCCTTGGTGCTGAGCTTGCCCACGCTGCGCTCCCAGCTCTCCGTCCTCGGCCTCTTGCTCTGGGGGTCCTGTGGGGCACAGGTCAGGGGCTGCGGCTCGGAGGGGACGCGGGGGGAGTGGGGATAAAGCAGCACAGGAAGGAGACAGGAGTTGTGCCCCTGCAGTGATGGCACAGGGATGTGCACCTGCAAACTGCCCTGGAGATCCATGTCCCACTGCCAGAGACCTGAACCCATCCTCGGGACGGCCCTGGGCTGCTGAGGAGGCAGAGAAAGCAATCCCAGGATGGTTTGGCTTGGAAGCACCGTGAAGCCCATCCAGTCCCACCTTTCACTGCCCCAGGCTGCTCCAAGCCCTGTCCAACCTGGCCTTGGACACTTCCAGCCACAGCTTCTCTGGGCAGCCTGTTCCAGGGTCTCCTTAGACCCAACCCAACCCTCCCCTGCCGCAGATCCAGACCATTTCCCGTGTCCTATCCCTCCCTGCCTGGGGAAAAGTCGGGAAAAGTCTCTCTCTGCTTTATCAGCTCCTTCCAAGGCCGCTGAGCAGCCCCGGGTGCCTGCAGGTGGTCCAGCCAGTGAATCCCGGAGTGAATCCCGGGGCACAGGGATTAGTGCCGGGCCAGGGAACACGGCTGGGATTAACCCCAGCCCCACTCCCAGGCACGGCAGCTTTGATCCAGCCCAGCGGAGCCGGGGCCCTGGGGCAGGGATGGACAGCGGGAGAGGGCAGGGCTGTTTGCTGGGATAATCCCTCCCTCCAGCCCGGGCTCCAGGAGCTCTTTTGTTCTGCCTGAATCCAAAGCAGAACCCAGGGAGAGGCCGGCCCAGAGCTCTGAAATCCGGCCTGAAGCAGCAGCAGGGCCCAGCAGAGCTGGTTGATGGAGGGTGGGATGATGGGGGCAGCTCCATCCCTGCCCCATCAGCAGGCACAGCCGAAATCCCCGAGCCATCCCTGGCTCCTCTCAGCCCAGCGGCCTCCGGGAGCCCGGTGGCACTCAGAGCAGGGACACAACGGGCACACACACAGCTCCAGGACAGGATTTACAGGATTTGGGGAAGGCTGGGCCTCATCACCTCCTGCAGGATGTCCGTGGGTTTTGTTTGGGCCGTGGGATTCGCGCGGGGTTTTGCCGGTTCCTCGTCGGAGTCGGAATCCACCAGGAGCCGGCGGTTCTGGGCCTGCTCCAGCATGGCCCTGTCGGGAGAGGGGAGCTGGAGCTGGATCCATCCACTGCCAGGCCCTGCCTGCTCCAGGGCAGCAGAGCCTCGGGATCCACCTGCCTGGGGGGGGTTTATGGGACCAGGATCAAGCCCGAGGGGCGAGAGCAGCGGGATCTGGAGCTTCACCCCAGAGCAGAAACTGAGGGCACCTCCCAGGGGACTGGACCCCCCCAGCAGCCCAGATCCCACAGAATTCCAGCCTGGCTGGGTTGGAAGGACCTTCCACTCCTTCTCCCTGAACACTTTGCCACGACAGGCCGGGATCTCCTCCCACCCCCCAGATCCTGGGAATCCAGCCCTCCTCTCTCATCCCACTGCCAGCACTTGCAGCCCCTCACTTCATCTCCTGCTCGTCCTCCTCCTGCTCCTTGCGCCTCTGCTCCTCCTCCAGCTCCTTGTACTGCTTCAGCATGGCCTCAAAATCCACGTTGGCCTGGCGCTGGTTGAGCTCCTTCAGCTCCTGCAGGTTCTCCAGGACCTCCATCTCCAGCTTGGAGTCCTTGGTTCGGTTCTCCAGCACCTGGGCGGGATAAGCTGGGATATTTCAGCCTGGCAGGAGCCTCCAACACCTCCCCATGCTGGAGGAAGCACAAGAGGATCCTCCTCATCCTCATTTTTGGGTAGGACAGGAAAACCTGAACAGCCACGGGGTCACTGCTGTGGCTGGGGAGAGCAGGGCAGGGTGGGAGAGGTTTTCCTGCAGTCCTCGTACCTTCATGGGATTGTTGAGCTCTTCCTCTTCCCTCTCCTTCTGCATCCTCTTCTCCTCCTCCTCCAGGAGCTTCTCTGCCTGGAAGTTCCTGGTGGCGCCGTGCTCCATGGTGTAATCCGTGTTCTCGGGATCTGTCTGAGGGGGGAACAGCAGGAAAACCACCGTGGGTGGGAATCCTGCTCCAGCCAGCCCACGGCCACCTCCAGAGCCCGATTTCCATGAAGGAAAGTGCCACGGGAAGGGCTGGTCCAGCCAAAACCCCACCCTGACTCAGCCCTTGCTGGGACAGGAGTGCCAGGGAATCATGGAATTCCCTGAGCTGGAAGGGACCATCAGCTCCTGGCTCTGAATGGGACAATCCCACCAATCCCATTGTCCAAAGGCTCCTCGGAGCTCTGGCAGCCTCGGGGGGAATTCACTTCCCCACCACCCTTGGAGTGAAATCCTTTCCCTGACACCCAAGGCAGGCTCCTGGCAGAGCTGCAGATGCTGGGATGCCCCGGGGCAGCGGGACAGGCTCACCTTGAAGGTGATCTCAGCCAGGCACCGCGTGCACTTGATGTAGAAGCGGAAGATGGGCAGCCCCAGGTAAACCTCGTTCTGCACCGTCTCCTTGCGGGCGTTGAACTTCTTGCCCTTGTAGATGTACTCCCCGCACGTCTTGCACCTGCCAGGGCAGGGAAACGTCCAGGGAGAGCCAGAACAGCGGGGAATGAACACCAGGAGCAGCCCAGGGGACTTATTGGGCCAGGAGGGTTTTGCCTTTGGAACTTAAGTGGGGACCGACCCCAAAATCAGGGAATTGTGGATTGGTTTGGGTTGGGGGGACCTCAAATCCCACCCAGTGCCCCCCCTGCCATGGCAGGGACACCTCCCACTGTCCCAAACCCCATCCAACCCGGCCTGGGGCACTCCCAGGGATCCAGGGGCAGCCACAGCTGCTCTGGGAATTCCATCCCAACCCCTCCCCACCCTCCCAGCCAGGAATCCCTTCCCAATATCCCATCCAGCCCTGCCCTCTGGCAGTGGGAGCCATTCCCTGTGTCCCTGGTCCCTCTCCCTCCCTCCCTCCTTCAGGTCCTGGCAGGAAAGCACCCCCAGCACCTCCTGCCCTGCCCGGGGTCAGCAGGGGCAGCAGCTGCACCCAGACAGCTCCAGGGAAACTCCTCCCTGCTCCAGCAGCTCCAGCCCCGCTGGACACAGCCTGGAAACCCCTGGGACAGCGGAGAGTCCCTGCCCATGGCACTGCACGGGCTGTGGGGCCTCTGACCCATCCCAACCCATTCCAGGAGCGATCCCGTGGTTCCAGGAGCGATCCCGTGGTTCCAGAGCCGCTCTCACCTCATGTTGAAGGGGGCCATGAGCCTCACCACGTACTGCCGGTCCTTCGGGAGCTTCAGCTTCGGGATCTTCGCCGGATCGAAGTCCGGGGGGTAATATTTCTGTGGAGAGAGAAAGGGAGGATTTGGGAATGCTGGTAACATTTCTATGGAAAGAGAGAGGATTTGGGAATGCTGGTAATATCTCTATGGAAAGAAAAAGAGAGGATTTGGGAATGCTGCAGCGCCGGGAATCTTCTCCGTCCCCACAGCTCTGACAGGAGGCTGCAGCCAGGTTGGGGTCGGGCTCTGCTGCCAGGGAACAGCCACGGGATGAGAGGAAAAGGCCTCGGGGGGGTTTAAATTGGATATTGGGAATATTTCCTGCATGGAAAGGGTTGTTAAACACCGCAATGAGCTGCCCAGGGAGGGTTGGAGTCTCCAGCCCTGGAGATATCCAAGGAAGGTCCGGAGGTGGCACTCGGTGCTCCGGGCTGGTGACAAGGTGGGGATCGGGCCCAGCTCGGACTCGATCTCGGTTCTTTTCCAGCCTCAACGATCCCGGGATCCTGAGAGATTCCCGAACCGACCGGGACCCCCCCAGCGCCCTCGGGGAAGCCTCCCCTGGCACCGCCCGGCTCGGGACGCTCCCCTGATCCCCCTTGGCGGGGATTCTCCCCTCAGCTCACGTTCAGCACTTTCCGTTCCGACATCGCTGCGGCTTCTCCCGATCCCCGGTGCCGCCGGTGAAGCCCCCGCGCCGCCCGCCGCTTCCGGGTGTGGCCCCGCCCCCTCCGCCGCTTATTGGCGCAGAGAGACACGGCCCCCCTGATCCTCGTCTGTTATTGGCTGCTGCAGCTGCCAATCAACGGGAGGCGCCCGTGGGCCTTGTGCGACCCAGCCAAGAGTCCGCCGGAGAGCCGAGACCTCGTAACAAGTTCTGCGCATTCTTGGGTCCTGGGGGATCGCTGTCCCCGGCTGGGGCGGGGGGATCCCGGGGATGGGATCTGGGGCTGGGGGATCCCGGGGATGGGATCTGGAGCGGGGGAAACTCGGCTTCCTCACAGCAACACGGGATGTGGGCTTCAGTCTCCCGTGATCTCCCATGGCACATATTCATCATGTGGGTAGCTGTCCACAAACAGTGTGTTTTGTACTTAAAATATCACTTTCTTTCTTAAAACCGAGGACTCGGAGCCCTTTGGAGTTCGCAGCTGTTTTTTTTTGCTCACTCCACTGAGCATGCGCAGCCATGGCAGCCATGCTGTACGGCACCGCCGCACTGCGCACGCGCGGTTACCATTGCCGCCATTCCGTACAGCGCGCCTCCCATGCGCACAGCCGCTATTCCCGCCAGCGCGGGCAGCCCCAGGTGCCGCTGCCGTCAGCTCCGCCCATTCTCAGATCCTCGCTCCCCGGCGCTACCCGCCCCTCCTGCACGGCGCCGCTACAACGCGCCAGCGCAAAGCCGCCATTACCGCCGGGGCGGGCGGCGGCGCCGCTTCGCCGCGCATGCGCAGCGGCTCACGCGCCGTTTCCCGCCGCCCTGCCAGCCGCGCGTTCCCGCTCGTGCGCATGCGCGGCGCAGCGCCCCCTGGCGGCCCGGCCGGCGGCGCCGTCCCGGCGTGCCCCGCGCTCCCCACACAAAGGACGCGCTGGGAAATGGCGGCGGCCGCGGCCTCACAAAACGCCCCCGCGAAAATGGAGCCGCCCCCGGCGGCGGCCGCGGCGGCAGCGGCGGCTCCGCCAGCGCCCAACGGGGCGGCCGGCGCGGGGGGTCCGCCCCCCAAGAGGTAGGGGGGCCGCGAGGGGCCGCGTTGCCGGTGGGGCCGCGGGGCCGCGTGCGGCCTCCCCGCGCCTGGGCCCGGCCGGGGGCGGCGGGACGGAGCGGGCCCGGTGGGGCCCCGGCGAGGTCGTTACCGGTGCGGGGCCGCTCCCTCCGGGCGCGCCTTGGGATCCCGGGCGGGGCCGGCCCGAAGGCGCCTCCGCGGCTCCCGCAGCGCTCCGGGCCCGGTGCCGGCGGGCAGGGAGCCCCGGGATCATCCCCATCCCCTCAGGAAAAACTTCTGCTGAGTTTTGGTGGAGTTTAGGCCTCCCCGGGGGGAGCGGGCTGTGCAGCGTGGAGGTGTTTTCAGTTCATTACTCTTTTTGCTGTCAGTAAGTTGTAATAACTCCGTTGCCCTCAGCAGCCTCCCCATCCCTGCTGCGCGTTTTGCAGCCGAGCGCGTTCCTTTTGGGGCTGATTTATCCGTGAGGGGATTTAGGAGCGCAAACACCTCGAGGGTGAGAGTTTCAGGTGGTGCCGGGGAGGAGTTGCACAATCCCGGTGGCTGCTGTCGGTAAAATGTTATGGAAATTTAAACCAAGATCAGCAGCGCCGCAGTTGCGGCTCTGTAGATGTGGGGATGAACTGCACAAAAAGTCTCAGCTGCTTCTCGCTTTCTCAATGCTGATGCTCGATGAAAATTCCACAGTCGGCAAAGCCGGCTTTGGTACCGAATCCATGAAATAGAAAGAACTTTTTTCCCTCAGGGCGTTTTTGGTCTCCTTGCCGGGGTGATAAGAATCAGGTTGTGCCTGGTGTGCTGTGATTCCTGTTGAGGACGTGAGGTTGGATTTGGGTTTGTGTTTCCCGAGACCAGGAACTCATTCAGCTTCCAAAGTATCACTTTGGGGGGAAAAAAAGTCCATATTTATTTACTTTTTTCCCATTGAAGAACAGTCAGACTGCGCTTCGGGCAGTAAAATGCTGACAGACAAAGTTTCATTGACTGTGCAACTTGAGCTGGGCAGGGCAGAGACATCCCTGATCCTAGGGACAGGGAATCCAAGGCTTGGGAAGGGTGTTTCCAGCAGCCCTGGGAACATGGAATCAGCAGTTTATCTCCATGAGGAGCCAGTTAATTCCTGGAAGTATAAATGAAGATATCTCTCTGCTGTGATCTTGTTTTTCCTGACCCTGTTACATTTGGGATGCCTCCAGGGAATTTGTTGTGTCTCCAGGTGAAGTTGTTTGGAATATCCAGCTCCACGTGGCAGATCTCTCACTTCCACAGGGATAACACCAACGCTGCTGTGGGCACATTCTCAGTGGCCTTGAGGAAATCCACTTTAAGGAGTAACCACTAAAATCTGAGTGCAGCTTTTAACATAACTACTACATTTTGTGTTACTTATCAACCAAACAGAAATGAAGGTGGAAGAAGGATTGTCCTATTTCAAGTCTAATTTTGGAGTTTTAATTACTTGATTAATTAAGAAGTTTTAAAAAAGTTCACTGAGAGAAAGACTAGAAAATTCCCATCCCTGTGTCTGAAGAAGCTTCAGCTGCTGGGTGATAGAAGCAGGGAACACGCTCAACTTTAAACATTCAGAGGCCTTTGCATTCTTAATTTCCTTTTTCCGTGCAGGCTGTTGTCTGTTCAAGGGTTGAAATGCTCCCGAAGGGCTGCAGCTGGGATTTCTGATCTGGAATTTGCAGGGCTGCCAGGTCCTAGGTTGGGAAAAGCTCGGGACAGAGAGGTTGTAGAAACTTCAACTTTTCTATCTGAAATTTTTCCTATTCTGAATTCCTCCTCAGTATGTGTTGGTGCATCTTCTCCAGCAGCACTGAGTGAGCAAGGAGATTAATTGGATTAGTGAAGGGAATTATGTGAGACAGAGGCTGAAGCATTTTGTTGCCTTGTTTTTTTCCTTTCCAATGGGATGGGCTTTGGGGTTCCTTTCCAGCCTCAGTGCCCTGGGGTTCAGTGACTCTGTGTTCTGGAGGTGGAGCTGCTCCGTGCCCTGCAGCTCACAGGGGTTCTCTCCTTGCAGCGAAGGCGAGCGCCCGACCCCGAATGAGAAGAAGAAGGAGAAGGGGATGAAGAGGGGAGGGAACCGCTTCGAGCCCTATGCCAACCCCGCCAAGAGGTACCGAGCCTTCATCACCAACATCCCCTTCGACGTCAAGTGGCAGTCGCTGAAGGACCTGGTGAAAGAGAAAGGTAAAGTGCAGCTCGGGTGGCCCAGGCTGTCCTGCGCTCCAGCCTGGCTCTGGCTGTAGCTCAGCACTTGCACTTGTGGGTGCACTTGGCCACACGAGTTTGGAAAGGCTCTCCCCGGAGCCCTGCTGGGTGTTGCACAACCTCCGTCCCTGGCAGCCTTCCAGGCGACGGGTCCTGTGGAGGCCTCTGGCGTGCAGCTGACAGAGCCTCATCCCGGGATTAGCAGTGTTTTCCTTAGCCATCCAACCCCAGGCTTTCAGCAGATTTTAGCCTTGAAGTGCAGCAGAACTTTCCAAAGCATTTTAACGTTTTTTGGGCATTCAGGTGGTTCCGTCCTGCTCTGGTGTGTGGATATCCAGCTGTGTCCCCAGATTCGGAGGGGTTTGGGCTGGATTCAAGAGCCATGCTGCCATTGGTTGCAGTTCAATGTATTTAAGGGTGACCTGCAAAATCAGGTTGGTGTTTTGGCACGTGCTGCAGCAGAACCAGGGCTGTGGAAATCGGGTTTGTGGTGTTCCCCCTTCCACAATTCCCTTTAATTCCTGTGTGGATGGGGGTTGCCTTTGCTGAACATCTTCATCTCTTGAGGAAGATGAAGAGATTGAGCTGAGTACTCAGGTGGTGACAAGTCTAAATTAGTGTCATTTCTTCAGGCTGGTGGCCAGATTTCTAGTTTTCAAGTCACTTTGGAAGTGCAGTGGAGTGGCAAGAAAATCCTTGGCTTCTCCGGCCTTAAAATGTCTAAACCGAGTTCAGAGTAACAGCACAACATTTCCTGTGGGGCACTTCTGGATACAGAGCAGCGGCCAGGCTAGTGGGCAGTGGTCATTGTGCTGGAGCTGGGTAAGGACTGACAGTTCAGCTGTTTGAGGTGTGGCCTAAAGAAGGGGAAAACAAAGTTCCAGAGGGTTTCAAATGTTTGTCTTTGGAGGCAAAGGGGGACCGAGTCTGTGGAACGGCCGTTGGGACTGGGAGCACCGGGAGCTTCTCTAACTGGGGGCTGTTTGAGAGCCAGCAGTGGTTTTGTGTCATGGCAACAGCGTCAGCCTCAAAGGCTGCTCAAACAGCCCCTGGTTATGGAGGGAGCCTTCACTGCCCCGTGGCTGCCCCAGGTCCGTTGGTGCTCGGGATCTCGGCTGTGGAGATGTCCAGCTCTCTGTGCTGTGGTGAATCCCGTTCCCAGTGTCTGGCGGTTTCTCTCCAGTTCCCGTGGATGGCAGAGGCCGGGCTCAGGTTGTTTCCTGCCGGGCTGTTCAGCTGCTCATTCCAGCAGATGCTCCTAGGGGAACGTTGGAGCCTCTTCTGGCTGCAGGGCTTGTCCTGCTGAAACTGGGATCTTCCTTCCCGGGGTTTGGCACTGCTGATGAATCCAGCAGTTTGGATTTGCTGTTGTTCTGGACTTCTCCCAGACAGCTGTGCTGGGGCTTGCTCAGTCCTTGTCCTTCGGCAGAGCAGTTCCAAGCCCCAGGAACGTGCCCGTGGAAAACTCCGACCCGTTGGAATTCTTGCTTCGGAAGCGTAAGAACGCCAGGCCAAACGTCCCAGGCTCCGGGAGCAGGCGGAATTCTGTGCCCAAGGGGAAACCCTGGGCCCTGTGTGCGGGCTCTGCAGTGCAGCCGGGGCTGTAGCAGCAGGAGCTCGGGGAGGTGCCGAGCGTGCAGGAGCTGCTGGGGCAGGAGCTGCCGCTGTTCCTGCAGCCTGGGGTGGCCAGGCTGCTCCAGGTGCCACCTCTCTGTCTCCCAACGCCGTGGCTCCCAGTGGATTGGTTGGAGAAACT